TGTAGGGTTTCTGGGGTCTTGTCTTACATGTTGTGTTTTCCCTCATGTTTGCCTGTCACCCCTCTGCATTTCTCCTCCTGTGTTCCAGCACTGTTGCACCTGTGTCTAATTCTAATCACCGCAGGTGTCACTCATTTCACCTTGTTTGTGTCTGTATATATTCAGCCTCTTGGTGTCTTGTCAGTGTCTCTGGATTGTCCTTGTCCTAAGGCTTCATGACCTGTCTCTCCTTGTGTCCTCCTTTAAAGTAAGTTTGCTGCCCCGACAGCATTTTGTTTTGTTTAATTAATTAATAAACTATTTTACTTATTTACTGGAGCTTCAATCGTCTTCCTGCACTTTGGGTCCCACACACGGAGCCGATCATGACACAGTTATTGGACAAATAAGTTTTAACATATCGGCATATCAGATATCGACCAAAAATCCAATATTGTGCATCCCTAAATGTTTATAGAGTTTGATTAAAATCCAACCAGTAGTTCATGAGAAATTTTGCTAACATGATAAAATACACAAATATACACACCCAAACATGGGGAAAAAACCATCACTGCTGAAGTCAGAAAATCTGATGCTCCATCATAAAGCAACTAGAAAAACATCACGGACGGCTCAAACCCTGAAAAGTAACTTTAAAAGAAACCAATAAAGGCCCATATTTTTTCCTAAACAAATTCTAGTGAAGCTCGACGCCTTGAATTAAACAAATAGGGTTCGTTAAATCAGAATTTTATCGCCTTTAAACAGTCGAATTGATTTTTAATTAACTGTACCTGCTTCTGTTTTAATGAAATGTATTATTGCTCCTAGTTTGCCTCACTTTACCGTACGGCACATTTTCCTTCAGTTCAACAGGAGGACGGGTCCAGTTTGTCTCCTAAATGTTCTGTATTGACAGATTTGTAGAAAATAATTGGGATTAATGTGCAACTAGCCACACAGACGTTAATTAAACGTGACGTTGATCATGTTTACCGCCTTGGTTTTAGAGTGGTTTAGTCTCATGTCTTTACCGCCTGCTGCTGAATGATGGGTAATAAAGATTTTACCCATCCCTCTATGTGTGTGTCCATGTGTCTGTTGTGTTACCATAACATCCCTTAAACCACCAAACAAATTTAATGAAACTTGATCATGCTAAGGACATGAGATTGAGCCTGAGATTAGATCAAAACAGCTACAACTCAACACAAGACGGTTTCGGTCTAAAACTCTAGCATGACGGGCAACGGGCGACATGCATTCCTCCGAGAAACGCTGGGCTTTTAAATTACCGTGTGACTTCAAACTCAAACGTGCACAGCGTGTGTCTGAATCTCATATTTCAGGGCTCAGACGTCAGAGAGGAAACGTGAAAACATCTTTCTAACGAAGGAAATTCAAACAAACTGGAGTCGGTTTGTTGGGATTCAAATTAATAGCAACGCATTAGTATAAAAAGGGTGACGTGAAACCAGCTGAGACTTCAAAAATCCCCTTGAAATGTGAGAATTGGCAAGTTTTCTTTGTGGTAAACAGAATGGAATGGTGTAAAACTATTAAAAAGACAAAATAATTTCCCGTATAACAAAGAAATATTTATAAAAAAACAAACGCTACATTGACCTTTTAGTGAAAATGCTCGTCAAAGATGTATATCAGTCAGATCCATATCTTCTTATATAATGGTGAGTCTGAGTCCCCCCTACGTCTTTCGGGCCTTATCTCAGTTTCAGCATCCCTCCCCCATCCACAGCGGATAATTACGTTCTGCTGTAATATGAACGTATCGGGCTAACGACCCTCAGGCCATTATCTCCACACCTCCTCGGAGCTCTCGGTGAGCAGCATCAGCTCTTTCCAACACGAGCTCCTTCTGCCCGGGCTCACAGGGAAGCAGCAGGCAGATAGATGGGAAGGGCCCGGTTCTAACTGAGAGCATCCCAAATGGATTTTGGCCTGTTTGCTGCAAACGTACACACCCACAGCAGAGAAGAGACCGCAGGATTTTGTGCTAAATCATCAAGCCCGGTGTTTAAGAGCAAAATAAAAATGGAAGTGCTGATTGGCGGGTTTGAAACGTGGATCGTTCAGTCTGAACGGATGGGACATGAGTTTGTGGTGTTATGGTCCTTGAGCCAGGCCGTAACAAATTGGACCCAGATTAATGTCGCCCGCTGCCTTTCAGGCCCGAGTTTTAGATCGAGGTCATCTTGTGTTGAAGCAAACTTTTATAAAATGCTGTGCACAATCTCACCCTCTGAGTATGTGTTGTGAATTACTCTCAGCTACTTCCACATCAAATTTTAGCTCAATAACTGGAAAATAGGCTGAGCTGTAGTCATATTTGTGTTGGTTATTGTCTATTAGCTGTGGCAGCCACATCGAAGTGTATTACCTCTGACACTGAATCAGTTTTAGATGCACATCCAATGAGATCTATCTGAGAGTTTAATGAAAATTCATCACGTGGTTGATGAGATATTTTGCTAACAGACGAACAGCATTGACTTTGACAGATAGCGTTACAGTTGTAAGCAAAGATCTTGCATAACGAGTAGTTCTCGATGTAGGTTTTATGAATGACTCTCAGCTACTTCCACGTCCAATGTTAGCTCAATATCTGTAAAACTGGCTGAATTGTAGACATTTATGTGTTTTTTTAAGTGAATTAGCTGTGGCGGCCATGTTGTTTTGGATTAGCTCCAAAAGTTTTAAGTTAATAGACGTACATCTTGTGATTACTTCCTGAAAGTTTCATTAAAATCCATCAAATGGTTCATGGGATATTTTGCCAACAGACAGACAGAGTTAACAAACAGTTAGTGTCAATATAAGCTTGTCCAATCTGTCAGCACTCAAAACATGTGTCAGGAATTAGTCTCAGCTACTACCACAGCAAATATTAGCTCAATACACTAAAAATTGACTGGATTATAGTCGTTCTATGTTTTTATAAGTTCAGTTGGATGAGACGGCCATCTTGAATCGGGTGGACTCCAAAAGTTAATCAGCTGTAGAGCATCCTAAAATGTTTATTTGCTGACAGCTTCATTCAAATCCGCCATGTGGTTGATGAGATATTTTGCTAACAGACTATCACGTGAACAAAGGCACCAGCAAAACCACTATTGTCTGAATAATGACGTATCAAAACAAACTGAATTTCTAACTAATGATTAAAATCAGTTTAAGTTATTATTCATGTTAAAACAAATAAGTTTTTATTAAGTTTGCAGATAAAACACTATTTAATTGCGTCATTGATTGAAATTAAATAGTCTATTATTATTATATTATAAAGTGCATCAGATCCAGCTTATTTATGATTATGGGTTACCCGCCGCGGGGGCGAGCATGTTTTGGCACAGGTTCGCGCTCTGGACGCAGAGACGCGACCTTTGAGCTCTTTCTGGGAACAGAAACGGATCGGGATCGGGTCTGGACTCACTCGAAGGCGAAGAACAGGGAGCAGGTTCCGACGATGAGGAACAGGGTCAGGTAGAAGACCCCCTTCTGGCGGGCCATCATCACCCGGCCGTCGCAGCAGAACGTGTTCTTCCCCGGCAGCTTCTCCCATTTCCGCACCTTCCGGGTGATCATCACCGCCGACATGCTGCTCCTCTCCCGGCGCACTTTCCCCTGAATTCAGTCAGATCTCTGCGCAAAGACGCAGCTGGGGCGCATTCTTTTCTTTCTTTATTCCGGCTAAAGCGTCGCAGTCACATCATGGATGGCTCTCCTCCGCCTCACACGCTCCTTTAATCCCTTCAGTAATCAGTCAGATGGTTAGAAATCCACCCAAAACGCATAAAAACATTGTTTTAAAGCCCGACTGCGACAGATGTTTCCCAGCAGAAGCAGAAAATCCACCATTCACATCCTCCCCGAATCAAACCCACCGAGCCAAGAGGATCCCAGCTGCAGGGATGGGTTGGGACTGAGGCTCCTGTCTCGCTTTCCTCCTCCTCCCCAGCAGAATCCCAGCTCTGGGTTTTGGTCAATGGCACCAGGAAACACGCCTAGATTGTAATGTCTGATCTTAAAGGCGCAGCACAGGTGGAGCAGGAACAAAGGACCAGCTCCTGTTTGCATCACACTCAAGAGCAGAATCTCTCCAGCAGGACAGAAAGAGGAGGAAATGATAGATAGATAGATAGATAGATAGATAGATAGATAGATAGATAGAT